TGATTGAATTTCGGTAATCTGTTTGTGATTTCAGTTATCTTTCTGAAATCCTGTAATGGGTAAAGAGAAGTTCCACATCAACATTGTGGTCATTGGCCATGTCGACTCTGGTAAGTCGACTACCACTGGTCACTTGATCTACAAGCTTGGTGGTATCGACAAGCGTGTTATTGAGAGGTTTGAGAAAGAAGCTGCTGAGATGAACAAGAGGTCATTCAAGTATGCCTGGGTGCTGGACAAGCTCAAGGCTGAGCGTGAACGTGGTATTACAATTGATATTGCCTTGTGGAAGTTTGAGACCACCAAGTACTACTGCACTGTTATTGATGCTCCTGGACATCGTGACTTTATCAAGAACATGATTACTGGCACCTCCCAGGCTGATTGTGCCATCCTCATTATTGACTCCACTACTGGTGGTTTTGAAGCCGGTATTTCCAAGGATGGTCAGACCCGAGAGCATGCTTTACTTGCTTTTACTCTTGGTGTCAGGCAGATGATTTGCTGCTGTAACAAGGTGAGCCTTATGTTTTATATTTCAATTGGTATTGGATATCAGCCATTGTTGTAGTTATTCAGAAGCAGTTCTAACTTGTCACATGACATCAACTATTGTTTACAGATGGATGCCACCACTCCCAAGTACTCAAAGGCAAGGTACGATGAAATTGTGAAGGAAGTCTCATCCTATCTCAAGAAGGTCGGGTACAACCCAGAAAAGATTCCCTTTGTCCCCATTTCTGGGTTCGAGGGTGACAACATGATTGAGAGGTCCACCAACCTTGACTGGTACAAGGGTCCCACCCTTCTTGAAGCCCTTGACTTGATCAGTGAGCCCAAGAGACCATCAGACAAGCCCCTTCGACTTCCACTTCAGGATGTGTACAAGATTGGTGGTATTGGTACCGTCCCTGTTGGGCGAGTTGAGACTGGTACCCTGAAGCCTGGTATGCTTGTGACTTTTGGCCCCACTGGGCTGACTACTGAAGTTAAGTCAGTGGAGATGCACCATGAATCTCTCCCAGAGGCCCTTCCAGGTGACAATGTTGGATTCAACGTGAAGAATGTTGCTGTTAAGGATCTCAAGCGTGGTTTTGTTGCTTCCAACTCCAAGGATGATCCTGCAAAGGAAGCAGCAAACTTTACCGCTCAGGTCATCATCATGAACCACCCTGGCCAGATTGGACAAGGATATGCTCCTGTTCTCGACTGTCACACATCCCACATTGCTGTTAAATTTGCTGAGATGTTGACAAAGATTGACAGGCGATCTGGTAAGGAACTGGAGAAGGAGCCCAAGTTCTTGAAGAATGGTGATGCTGGATTTGTGAAGATGATTCCCACCAAGCCCATGGTTGTTGAGACCTTCTCTGAGTACCCCCCACTTGGACGATTTGCTGTGAGGGACATGCGACAGACTGTTGCCGTTGGTGTCATCAAGAGTGTTGAGAAGAAGGATCCATCTGGTGCTAAGATCACCAAGGCCGCTGCTAAGAAGAAGTGAACCGGACTGGCTCATCAGATTTCCGCAGGGGAAATCTTATATAAATATAATAATAGTTGTAAAAACTTACCAATTGTCACTATAGCTATGGTTTGTTGGTCATACTGTTTTATATGTTATAGTTTTTGGTCGTCATTGTTAGGCATCCAGTCCCAGAATCGGGTGCTTGACAGGCGGCGGCGATGTTATAGCATACGGAGTCCTTGTACTTCGGTTTACCCCAGGCGGCTAAATATTTTTGTGATTGGTTCTGCTACTCTGGATTTGTATTAAAAAAACTATGTTGTATTTTCGTAATGATTCTATATCCTTTTGGTATTTCACATTTCCTCTCATGTGCTTTATCCTGTTGTGGTATATGAATTTTGATGCCGCATGTTTGTTGATGCCAAATCTTTTATCGTGCCCATATCCTGCGATATCTTAATACAGTGTATAGTGGATGTGGGGTATTTGTCTTTTCGGCCTTCGGAGGCATTCACTGGTTTAGTTTTATCGTGGGATTGGACTTGTGCTGTGTTGCCTGACAAAAAGGATTAGTAAACGGATGAAAATCGGAATACATTAAAAAGGCTATTCTTAAGCAACCATATGTGTTTATGAACAGGACTTAAATGAAGAGCATGAATACTCATTTTTACTAGTAGTAATCTGATCCAGAACCGACATTTAAATAAAGGATAGCAAAGTATGGGGGACAATGCTCTGATAATTGAAACTTTGAAAGTAGATAACCTTTATATTCTACATAGCTTATAGGGATCCACCCAAACCCTCTCGCCATTGCATTTTGGCAGCAATTTTGTCCCCATATATCCACGATTAATCACGCGTGCATATGCATTGCTCTCTTATATTCCATTTTGTTATCTTAAGGCAACAAAGTCTATGTTAATCAGAAATTTTTGAACGTGCGTGACTGTCATATCGTAGTATTATAATCCATTCATACTATAACGTGTATTTTATATGTTGACATAGTATTCTAAAACATAAACCCGTCACACGTACATTGATTATAACAACAAATAATCATATGACGATCACTTTATCATAACACGTATTTTGTTTGTTGACACAGTATTCTAAAGTATAAGCTAGTTACACATGTATTGATTATAAAAAATGATAGTAGGACGATCACACTCTTGTACTTTCCGACGGGTCGTACCCTACCAAAGAGGATTATCCACAAATCGAAGTCTATAGCGCATAGACACTAATCATGCGCATGGGAAATATGGGCATTTAAGCTAAGTGGAATCTTTTCAAGAAATACAGTGGGAGACTTAACTCAGAGATATTGATCTCCCTTTGGCCACTATTTCATACAGTGGGAATATAGTCAAACAAATACTATATCAATGAGAAACATTGGAGACCTTATTCTTCTTCTGGGTTTTTCTTCTATGATTTTGTGAGGACCTGTCTTCTTTCTGGTTGCTGCCGTGGAGTATGACATAGTATTTACTATTTGTGTGCATTTCAAAAATCTTATATTCAAATTTATGTAATACTAGATGAATCACAAATGTGAATCTCAGATGGATACAAGGAGGGAACTTTCACATGCGAGGTCCACAAAAGGACTCTTTCGTCCCATATCGAAGAAACAACGTAAAGTGCCCCTCTCTCTCTCTCTCTCTCTCTTCCCCCAATAAAAGGGAACACTCTCCCATTTAGAAATTAAGGTTTTTTTTTTTCCTTCTTATGACTTCTGTATATGCGTCAAATGCTAAACTCATTGATTATTAGTAAAAACACTCTATATAAACAAATTCTGTGGACAAAACCCCACATTGGGTAAACCATTGACATATTCATAACTTGTGTTTTTGCATGATTGTGAATCTTTTTATTTATATTTTAACTGTTTAGTAACACTACGCAACAATATGACCGTTATTTTGAAGAACTACTCGATAAGAAGCCGATATCATATTCAAATGTAAAAAATTAGGGGCCTGCGACTGCAGAATTCTCAGCCTACTCGAAGGGCCAGCGACAACTTGGCTCTTACAGTGAATCTTGTATTCTTCTTTTCTTTATCTAAACAGTGAATCTCAGCCATCACAATCTCCATCCAAATTCTAGCCGGAGACACATTCATTGCCGCCCCATGGTAAAAATTGGTTTACAGTCCATGACATCGAAGACAGGACAAGAGTACATATCAGTGGTGCCTTAATTCGACAGTAAAAGATAGAGATATGTCAACGATGGCGTGATCAAAAAAGTGTGCAAATTGATAAAGATGGGTGTTTGTATTTACTTATCAACAGTGTCAGTTGTTTCATCATACGTACTATTTACACACACTGCTTTTAATGTAATGCTTTGCTAATGTCTTCCACTTGTTTGTTCCAACCCAACCCCAAGGAAAGAAAACCACAACATTATCACTTTATCTTTCATTTCTTCTAGCACACATAAAATTAATAGTTTTCTGAGTTTGAATCTTCACTGGCTTCTACTAACGCCACCCGTATTTAGTTTACCTTTTTTTTAATTTTTTATACAAGCGATATTGGGGAAGGAGGAATCGAACTTAGGACCTCATGTACATTGATAAATACTCTTAACCACTTGAGTTACAAGCCCCTTTCAGTTTTACCCTTTAAATAAAGAGTGACGGTTTCCGTCTACCGTTCCTATTTTCTTATGTTTCTTTGAAAACTGAGAGACTAATTCTGTAGTCATAGGTGCCCACCTTCTATGGTAACTCACTTGTTGAGTGCTGCACATATCTCACAATGGAACACAATATCAAAGAGTATTGAAACACAGCTCCAGCCCTTTTTCACACTTTCCTTTTCAAAATTTTAGGAACCACGTTGGACCAATGGATGAACTTCCAACCGCATCATTGAATCGGCTACCAATTTCAATTTAACAGGCTTATCAATTGAACATAATTTTTTCTAAATTTTCCTTTCTTGCTTTTAAAAGCATGTAGGGTTGAACTTGAACCAAAGGTTTATACATGTATGAGTTCTAGGGTTGTGGCTAAGTAAAATGGAAGTTGACGTTGAAGGCGAAGAGGAAGGAAAGAATGCGTGGCTAATAAAAGGTTGAAAAGCTCAACGCTTGTGAGAGGAGAGGACATCAACGAAGAGAATACGTGGCTTATATATTTTTCATATAAAACTGCCACTCGCTAGTTTTCTTGTTTTACAAATTTCTGCACTGAGGTAATTTCAATGATCTGTCTTCTGCTTCTTTTTCTTCCTCAAAAGATTCTGTTTCTTTTTCTTTTTCTTTTTAGGATGAATTGCCTATAAACTTTCGTTCTTTTTTTTGGGATGAATTGCCTAGAAACTTTCATTTGTCTTTGAACAAGAATTCGAACTTGACAATGTGTGCAGAGAAACAGTCCAAAACAAAACCAACAAAACAAGAACAATGACATCAAAGCAAGATCACAAAACTAAAAAAAGGCAAAAAAAAGCCAAACCGGCCAAGGAGGAAACCAGATCGAAGATAAACTCAAAAGATATGAATATAAAAATTAAAACAAACCCCACAGAGAATATTTAACGTTAAGCAGAAGTAGGTCCAAAAACATAAATATTTGATTAATTAATAAGCTAAGCTAAGCTAAGCTAATTAAGCTATGCAGCTTTTGCAGTACAAGCCAAATAACAGCAACACAGATCATGTAGCACACTAGCTAGATCTTCATCAACCCCACCTTCCCTGATCTGTTCTCCCACTCTTCCACTGCTTCTCTCAAAACCCAGTTCTTGATTTGCATGCAGCTCTGCTCTGGCTTGTGATCTCTGCCTTTTCATGGCCTCCCTTCTGCGATCATGATCTGCCATCCTAAAACAAAACCACCCACAAAAAGAAAAAAGAATAAAAACCAAAAACACATATTCAAGAGAGAGAGAGAGAGAGAGAGAGAGAGAGAGAGAGAGATGAAAATATACTCCTTAGAGAAGGTGAGACTATGATGGGTTATCCCCGAAACACACACAGGAAGGCCAAAGGTGCCATGGAGGTTTAACATGGACTGCATTTTTTGTTTTATTTTCTCTGGTTTTTGATGGCTGTGGAGAAAAAATAATTGAGGGAATTTTAGATTGTATGTATGTATCTATTTCTAGTGTTGGTTTTTGGGGATTTATTTTGGGAAATGAGTTGCTGTAAGCTCTGAAAAGGTGATTAAAGCAAAAGGGGCTGATCTATCTAATTGTAGAGAGAAAATCTGACACACTATAGGTTATAGGACCGTGGGAGAGATGCATACAGTGAAAGCTTGCCACATGGTAAGGGAAAGGACATGGGCTCTCATTTCTTGCTGTCTGATTACAAGGCAATAAGATTTGCTTCATGCATTTGGGTCTAAACCAAGCCCAATTTGTATGTTAAGTCAAGTCCAGCAAGTGTGTTTCTAAGCCTAAAAGCCCAGATGGTGATGATGCCAAAAAATTTATTACTGAAAAGTAACGGTGAGTTTAGTTTGTAACCTCGTTATAACATCTATAATGGGCTCCTTAAATCACATTCTTAGACAAATTTTAGAGAGGAATGGGAAATATACAACTTCAACCATGCTTCCTATCCACCTCCTAAAATATGGAGGAGAGAGAGATTGACTAATTAAAAAAGAGTTATAGCATTTATGACTTCCTAAATCAGAGAGTATGATTGAAGTTAAAATTTTATAGAGAGCTCCTAAAATAATTTTTATATTTTTTAGCTAAATTTTAACTAAAAAATAGAGAGCATGATTGTAGATGGTCTTAAGCAGAGGCGGACCTACAGAGGTGCAAGGAGGTGCATATGCACCTCCCCTCGCCGGAAAGAGCTTTGGAGGTTGTGGAATTTGCCCCTTAGCTCTGCCATGGAAGTGCCCACAATCTGCTCAAGGAAATGCCTCTGCGAAACTGCTTTTTGTTTGCTGTGATGCTGTGTTGTTGGGCTGTTGTGTGCAGTACAACACGCTTGCTTTTTTTAATTTTAAAAAGTCCCTGGCCAAAACGATGTCGTTTTGGACCAAGGCAATGAAAAAAAATAGGGATAAAGCCTTATATTCTACCGATAGGAACCCACTGCCAAAGTAAAATTAATATTATTAATAATTTAATATAAAGAGAGTCCACATTCACTCCATTTAAATTGAATTGAAGAAGCAAACAGACCCAAATTGCAAACGCAAGGTCTGTTTTTTTTTTTTTTTCCTTTTGGTCCTTTTTTCTTCTAGTTTTTTATTTCTAATTTTTTTTTTATAATATGTATTTTTTATAATAATAATTTTTTTTTGATGTGGCTCTCTCTGTAATTTTTTAATTATAAAGTTATGAAACAGTACTAGTAATCTTCAATCGAATATTGCCCCTTCTCTGAAAAATTCTTGGGTCCGCCACTGGTCTTAAGGATCCATTTGATTCATGGAATGATTTGCTTAATTGAGTCCCCGTTCCTAGAGAATGAGAATAAATGATTTTAATTCCCGTATTTGTAAATGCTTGAAAATAGTAACCATGAAATAGACTTTATTTTCATTTTAATATTTGGTTTGTACTGTTTGCACTAAAACTAGACAGGTAGTAAGTAGGCCAACTTAAAGATGAGGTGTATGTTGAAGGTGAGGACCCTCAATATGTAAGAGCATTCGGTAAATAAATGGACATGCATACAGAAGATAAATGTACATGGTTCACCCGAATAATGGGCTACGTCCACGGAGAAGAATGTTCTCATTATGATAATGTGTGTATACATTGTGCATAGGGGAAGAGGAAGAATACCGAAGGCTGAAGGCAGATGCCGAAGGCCGAAGGTTGAGGATCTGGCTGATGGCCGATGATCCGTGGGCTTGTAAATGGGCTCATGGATAAGCCCATGAGGCCCCAGTAGCTTGCCCCAAAAACCCCCTCTTATTGAAGGGGAGAGGTCTCCATTTATAAAGAAGAGAGAGTCTCCTCCTCTTGTGTTTTGTCGATGTGGGACTCCCTTCCCTTTGGCTTGGGAGTGTTTGGGAGTGCTTGGCCAGATATTGTACAAACAGGAGTCCCCCAAGTTCTCGATTTAAGGAGATACTTCTTGATTGGGGACTTGTAGTCATCAATGCACTGGCCAAGTAATGCTTCAGCTCATTCTTTGCTTTCTCTTGTATGCAGCATCGATGCGGAGTTGTTGAATCAGTTGGCATAAGTGCTGGAAGTTTGGAGGATTCTACATTAGTGCCGTTCGGCAGGTGGCATAGGCGTTGGAATGAAAATATGTCTCTTGGGTGGTGCCGTTCGGCAGGTGGCCTTGGCGCCGTAAGAGAGAGGATTTTTCATGAGGTGCCGAATCATTTGGGGGGATGTGAAGACATCGCATATGCCGAATGATGCAAGAGTGCCGAAGGCCGATGCCGAATCATTGGGGGGATGTGAAGACATCGCACACGCCGAATGATGCAAGGGTGCCGAAGGCCGAAGGCCGATGCCAATCATTTGGGGGGATGTGAAAACATCGCACACGCCGAATGATGCACGGGTGCCGAAGGCCGAAGGCCGATGCCGAATCATTTGGGGGGATGTGAAGACATCGC